TGGGCTGGAATGACGAGGAACGCGTAAGTGAGGTGAGATGAGGTGAGGTGAGGTGAGGAGAGGCGAGGTGAGGTGAGGTGAGGTGATGTGGCTGTGGTGTGATGTGGAAGGATGCTGGAGGATGCGGGTGGCTGTGGCGTGATGTGGAAGGATGCTGGAGGATGCTGGTGGCTGTGGCGTGATGTGGAAGGATGCTGGTGGCTGTGGCGTGATGTGGAAGGATGCTGGAGGATGCTGGTGGCTGTGGCGTGATGTGGAAGGATGCTGGTGGATGCTGGTGGCTGTGGCGTGATGTGGAAGGATGCTGGTGGATGCGGGTGGCTGTGGCGTGATGTGGAAGGATGCTGGTGGCTGTGGTATGACTACTGTACGTGTGGAATGAGTCGGCAGTAACAGACAGTAACAGACTCGCTACCCAGCCACACTCTTTTACACGCTATCAAATATTGAAATGCCGTTTGTGTATTCTGCCTTGTGCGCGTTAGACTCGCCATGAAATATTCAGGCAAAGTGCATTTCGCTATCTCTTCGCGTGTACGGTGAATTATGGAAATGTTTGTTATTTTATCGCCAGCACGCATCTCTAGTGCATTATAAATGCATGTAATTTTATATAATGTGAATTACAATGTATTCGACATTAAGATATCGCTCCGTCAGGGCCGTTTTGCCTGGGAGGAAAAGAAAGGGGGACGTTGGAAGGAAGTGGGAGGGTGAACGAAGCGAGTAATGATAGAGGAGACGAGAGGAAGGGAGGAAGAAAGGAAGGGAGATATCTAGCTGGAGGTATGGGAATCTAGGAGGAGCTTGAGAGAGAGGAGAGAGTGTTGATCAGGGAAGGGGGGGATGATGAAGGGAGAGGAGGAGTTAGTCCGGCGCCTTCCCTCCGATCGATAGATATATACATTGTAGGCCAAGTACCTGTTTGACGACTGCGCGCGCGCGTGCGTAAGTGTTCGTGCGTGTGCGTGTGTGCGTGCGTATGCTTTTGCGTGTGTGCGCACGTATGCTTGTGCGTGTGCATGTATGCGTGTACGTGTGTGCGCGCGTATGCTTTTGCGTGTGTGCGCACGTATGCTTGTGCGTGTGCATGTATGCGTGTACGTGTGTGCGCGCGTATGCTTTTGCGTGTGTGCGTGCGTGTGCATCTAT